TTTTATTGATATAATATAATTAATACTATAAGGAGGAGTTGCCCTTTATATTCTTTTATTTTTTATGCAGCATTGTTATGTTATGCAAATTATTATTGTTATTACTTTTTTGTATATTGGGTTACAATAATGGAAGATAATTATCTTTAATTTTTTAATTTTATCTTATTTACATGTTATGTGAGTTAAATTTAAAATTTTTTATTTTGATGAAAATAAAATTATGAATAAATTATTTAAATCATTAGCTTTATGTAGATTATTTATGCACTAAGTTTATCCCTCTTTCATGATATTATAAAATTGTATGTAGTATTACTTCTTTATTTTGGAAAATAATTTACACTATCTATTTCATAATAGACTTTGTCAATCTTCAGTAACATTGTTATGGTGTGCATCCATTAATTATTTGTGATTATTGTTAGACTTGCGCTGTGAGATATTATGTAATGTGTATGCATCAATCTGTTCAATTTTATTGTTTTCATATCTTTCCCACTATTTATGGAAAATCCTTTTGTCTAATTCTTGAATATTTAAATGAAACCTCTCATATAGAATAAAAACAAAAAATTTGCTGGCTTCCTCTCTCAAATGATAAAGTTTGAGATTTTACATTTAAAATCTCATATTCCGACTAAGAGACGAGTGGAAAGCATTTTGGAAAATAAGAGAACTAGAATAGATCTCTATTAGCACTTGGGTCTTCGAGTTTAGTAGCATCAAGTTACGTATAAGTGTATTTTTTTTTCAGAACAACGGTTCGAATCCAATTCCTTATGAATTTATTCAAAAAAAAAAAATCTCTACTCCTTAGCCTATCATTAAATGTCATAAAATCATAAAAATAAATAAAGTGAACATTAAAATGTGTTAGTATTTTAAATATCAAGATTTTTTTATAAAATTATTTAAATATTTTAATAAAATTTTTATTGCGTTAATTTATTAAAAATATACTATTTTTTATTATAAACTTAAATATTTGAATTAATAAAACATCTTTGATTTTGTTCGATTCCTAAATAAATAAATCTTTAAGAGAAAAAAAACAGAAAAAAAAAAACCAACACATACACAAAGCCCATAGAAAAAGTTTCCGCCTTTGAAGGTTGAAAGATTTTCTATTAACTTTTTGGGCTCAAACCAAGATCTCATTGCCGTTCAAAACAAAAAAAAGGATCTCTTGGACTCCTATCCTTTAAGAAATACTAACAGTAACCCGTGGCCATTATACTAATCTCATAGACAGTTATTTTATGGATTATAAATTATTCAGGCCAAACTTTAAACTGACGTTTCTGACCCAGTAACCCAGTAGCATTTTATCTTTTTCTCTTTTTCCTAATTTCCTCTTTTTCAAAGTCAAACAAACCTTTGTCATGTAGTCAATAGAATATTGCTCGAGCCTGAGGGCCAGAATAGAACTGTAATGAGACAGCCTAGATGTCAGATGAACTTCAAAGCTCTGCTGTTATGAGTTTATTTCTTCTTTAAAGGCCTAAACCAAATGCAACCACTCTTTTTTTTTTCTTTTCATAAATAGAAATTCTATAGCATGGAGAAAATGGTCACAATCTACAAAAAGGACATCAATCTCTAGGTTCTCTTCATTGTGCATTGCAAGCATTAAACTCATTGATTTCATAGCATACTCTGAAGACAGATGGCAGAACGTATACATGACATCACAAGCAAAGAAAGGCACAGATTTCCATACACAGCTTCATCTCTTCCCTAATCCCCCAAAAGCTCACGTGGAGGCATAAAAGGGTGCTAATTTGCCAAAGCCCATACAGATGATAATACCCATGAACAAAAACCATGTCCCGTGGTTCAAAGTCAGCTCATTTAGTCAAAAAAAAAAAAAAAAAGGCCCAAGAAAACTAGGAGTTAGAGCCGATTCACCAAAATTAAAGGAAAAGACAACCCCCCACAAACACCAAGGCACCAAAAGTTTACACTTTTGCAAAAGCTCCCAACTCAAGATGGGCAATTCAGTTGACTCCCCAACCCTATCCTCTCTAATCGTGTGAGCCACGCCCCACCCTGCCGGGGTCCCAATGCCCCACAACTACCATTACTACCAGTTTTGTCCAACGCTAGATATCCTTCTCTTCTTTACTATATTGGATTTGTGCTTAATTTTCAGTTACAAAATCCTAAAAACTACGACTGTTGAAGCTGGGGTTTTAGATTTTCACACACTTTAGACCACTGGAATGGTGTTACACTTCAAAGGTCCTGCCTTTCGTTTCCCATTTGCGTGTCTGTGCTGCATTCACCAGGGCTTTCTTCTTTCTTCGTTGGCAGAGCTTTTGGCCTCCTTGGGATGCACTTCGTACGCACTCCATCTATCTCCTTTTCTGCCAACTGCAAGTGCGAGCCTCTGTTGATTGATAAAAAAACTCAAACTAAATAAGCCTGTTCACTACCAAAAAATGAAATCCCAAACTAATTCATCAATCAAATAGTAGTGAGAAACAGTAATAAAGAACAAGATAAAGAGAGAATACCCAATTCAAACCAACTATAAAAGAACTCAAATTCATCAGTTATGCTGCTTATGCAGATTGCATCATATGAATAAATGCTGCTAACTGCTTGTGGACAAACCCTCTTAACAAATACAATTATACAGAATGTAAATCTGTATGCCACGTGGGATTGTAAATGGATAATAAATTTGGACTGCCAGCATTTAATAAGACCTTGCATAAATGAATTCAATTCAATAGCAGAACAGAGAACTGATAGGCAACCAGAAAATGATTTAGAAGAGACATGGGAGAGTACACCGCAATTATATTGCCAATTGAATATATCTGTAAAACGAAAAGAACAGCTCTTACTGATTACAGAAAATGATTGGAAGGAAAGAACTATTTATGTTATATAATACAACTCATCAGACGCATTAAAAAAAAAAAAAGTGAAATCATTTTGGGATGGAGTTAGGGAATTTGGGTTTCATAAATCAGAATAGATAAATTACTTACTGATCTGCATTGTACGAAGATGATCTCTTCAAAGCAGGAACTTGCTCTTTCTGGGTCTCGATCAAGCTCCCGCTGAAGTATTCCTTGTCTTCCAGTCTTCCCCTTGTGAAGCTCCGAATTTTCTTTTCTGCTCCCAAGTCTTTTCCCACCTGGCTATTATTCGCTGCTCCGCGTGGTAATCTGGCCTTGTAGTGCCCAATCAACGAGAACCCTTGATCCCTCTCTGAGCTGGGCCCGCATTCCTTAAACGAGATGGACCCGCAGGATATCAACTGCATCAGAACCGCTGATGCCTTCATCCTCCCACTCGTGCAACCCTCAGCCGTCCGATTTAAATTTCGTCCTTCACTCTTCATCAAGGCCTCTGGTGTCCCTGGGCTTGAATCCAACGGTGGAGGTGAGATCTCTTCCCTGCTTAGCACTGTACTCTGGTTTTGCTCAAATTCTTGACTTTGACTTTGACTTTCATCTCTTTCCAATTCCTCAATTTCCGCTTCTTTGACCGGTTTTCTTCTCCTTCGCTTATCGTCCGTCTGAGTTGAAGCATCGGCAGCAAGTCTCCGACTTGACTCGGAGTTCGACTCAGCCTTGTAAACTTTATACTCATTAAGGTCAATGGAACTCCATGACTGGTTTCTCAGCCTCGTGATCACCGGAAAATCAGGATCGTTTTCCGATTTTTCAGACTCTGTTTGGCTTGGTAATCTAAACGACGAAGCAGCTTCTAATGTCATCAGATTCGGTGAAGTATCGAGAATCTCCGATCCCTTGAGAACGTACTCTTGTCCGTGAGCGGGGTAGATGAAATCGTTCTCGGATAAGTCGTGCCAAACAAAGCCATTCCTGTAACTCCTGAATCAAAAAAACGAAATAATGAATCGTTAGATGATGGTAACTACATCGGCATTGTGAGTGAGAAAAAATAGTTGGATGTAGCACCGTTTGGAGGACCAGGAATACAAGCTAGCCATGCCTTTTCCTCTCAGGAGGTTTAATCTGTTAATAAAGTCTGAAAAACAAGAACAAATTAGTTTTTTTTTTTTTTTTAATGCATTGATTTTCTTTCTGATTGCCGAGAAAATGAGAGAAAATTGAATTTTCGAGACATGCTTCATAGCTTCAGAATCTATTTTCTCGGCAGCCAAACAAACAGGAAAAGAGTTTGATCATGCTATTGAGAAACGCAAAGAGGCAATTTTAAAAAGGAAGAAGGAAGTTCTCATATTTGAATATGTTCCCTACTTCAAAAATGTTATTTTCCTTTGTTTCCTTTCTGAGAAACCAGAAGGCAAATTTACCTTAACCTCAATCCCCTGTGCAAGAGACTCTCGGATTAAAAAAATCTAGAATATTTCTAAATGGAAAACTTTCTCACGAAACAAACAAGATCTAAAACGAAAGATAAACGCACAAAAGCAGTATCAAACAGAGGAACTTTTTTGGTATTTGCTTTCCGATAAAGCAGCAACATTAATCTAAATCAACCAGTTGGCAACAGGTATTTTCTCGAAAGCAGTTAACAACAGTAAAGAAAACAAGAAATTAAGCAGAAATTCAAATTTCCTTCCTTTTCCTCACTAGTTTCTCTTACTTTCTCAGCAACCAAACATCGACAGAATAACAAAAAAAAAAAACCCACACTGAACAACCAAATTCGTAGCGACTTTTCACACTTACCTCTGAGATAGAGTCCATCGTTGGAAGAGAGAGACACCTCCATGAAATGAGGGTGCTCAAGCTGGCCATTCCTGCACAAATAGTAAACAACAGGGACTTTTTTCTCTGCAGATTTCCGACTCTTAGGTTCAGCCCAGACTTTGGTCCGTTCAGGACTTGCCTCTCTCTCTTTCAACTTTCTCGAAACTTCAAACTCCGTTGTTCTCCCTTTGGAACTTACCGCCATTGTTTCCTGCAGATATCACCAAACATCAAATGACAAAAAATGATTTAAGACACAACAGAGAAGAAGAGACAAAACTGCTCTTTACCTTGAGGAAGGGGAATGGAGGTTTAAAGCCAAGGAAAAAGTGAGGAAGCAAATGGGAGAGACAGGTTCCAAAATGGAATGCGGTGCGGCGGACAACAGTTAAGAAACAAGGGAGAACTATTTGGATTTCAGTTTTTAGCAGTACTGCTACTCCTAGACTAGCACCGGCAGCCCGACAGGGTAATTTCCCCTTTTTTTTTAATAATTTTTTAATATAATTTTTATATACTATTTAATAAATAAATATATGTAATATTATATATTTTTAATTAAATAAATAAATTATTTATTTAATTTACACATAATATTATATTAAAAAATAAAAATAAAAAACTATTTCTGAATCATTTTTCCATGTACTAGTAGTAGCGCTAATGACGGTGTGGTCTCCCGTTAATTTATTTAGAAATCTCACAATGTGACGTTGAACGATGCCGTTTGAAACCGTTGACTCACTAGAATTG